AAGGAGAAGAAGAAGAAGAAGAAGAAGAAGAAGAAGAAGAAGAAGAAGAAGAAGAAGAAGAAGAAGAAGAAGAAAATCTTTCTTACCAGTTTCGTAGTAATCATAGACTTTTATTAAAGCTGGCTTCAGGTGCCGGATAAGAAAGTTCTGCTCCATCGTGAGGGAGAACTGCTGGCTTGTGTTCCTCAGCTACAGACAAACGTTCAGCGTCATTTGGGGTGCCAAATATGGATCCCCACCTCCCTGGTTTTGCAACCCTGAGCATCCCAAATTGGGCCGCTGAAAGTTGGAGGTCCTTGGCCAAATAAACGGCCATATTCCTTACAGTTTTTAATTTTTTTGTTGGAAATGAAATAAAATAAGTGCATGAAATGCTCTAGTAAGCTTGAAAGTAGACTCCTTCAAGTTGAGCTGGACTCTTTATGACTTTAGGAGTACATCCCTGTGGTTTTCTTCACAGCAATAATGAAGTGGCTTGCTGTTCCCTTCCTCAAGGAATTTTTTTTTGGGGGGGGGCTTAGGATTAACCTAAAGTCCTAAGATTTTCTGGTGGTCTCTCATCCATGTACCCACAAGATCTGACTTGGCTTCTGCGGTTGAGATCAACCCAGGCTGGTGCTGCCCCCTAGTGAGGCCTAGTAGCCTTAACACATCTGTAAACTTCAGCGAGAAAAGCGATGCGAAATCCCTAAGTTTTGTATGTCCCAGATCTAGCACCCTGCCCACTCCAGCCTTCAGTGAGGAAAAATAGGAACTTTAAGACAGTTTCTGTTGGACAAAAATGTTCCCCCATTGCTCCCCAGGCTTGCTGAAGAGTGCACATTGAAGAGGCTGCAGAACTAAACCTTCTTCACAATCTTTTCCCATTCTCTCCTTCTAAAAGAATTAGACTGCATACTTCCTTAGGACTTGCAGTCCAGTCCTTTGTGTTTGCAAGGGGAGAGGAAATAGAGGAAACCCACATCCTCTTGGGGACATAACCGATCATAATCTCCACCATCCGGCTGGTTCGCCATCACTCACCTCTTCCAGATACAACAGGACGTGGTCGCCACTGACCTCTACCCGTTTGACCTCAGCCTGTCTTTCCAGCTGGAAGGAGCCAAAATGAAGAGAGTTTTCTTACTCTGGAGGAGGGCTCTCAAGTTTCAAAGGAAGGACTTTAGGACAGGATTTTGTCAGGTCTGTTTTGCAATTTCCCTTCTTTGATTCCTTCCACCCCCACAGAGTGATGGAAAGGAATTATAGGAAGGGCGCAAGCCAATCCCTGCCTGCCTGTCAGCAGGATTACTCTCCCAAACCAGAACACCACAGGACCAAATTTGGTGTAGGGGGAGAAGCTGGCAAAAGAAAGACCACGTTTGAAAATGGGCTAGATCTGGTTTGGGGCTGGAGCGGGAACACAATTCCCCCAGGGCATCTCCTACCGCACAGATGGGAATCGGACCAGGACGTTGCTGCTGCCTCCATTCTAAGCTTCCTCCTTCCTGGTCATGTGACCCCAAGTGGAGCGTATCCACTCTGCCCTGGGTTTCCCAGGGCACACGTATAAACACACCCAAATGCAACATTAATTGCATTCATTAACTTTGTATATTTTTGTAAAGACTTTTATTGGTTTTTTATCGCTTTTTTATTTGGAAGCCACCTAGGGCCCCTTACCCCGTGAGATGGGCGGCGTAAGCTTTTGATTAATAAAACAAATAAATAATTCGTATCGCTTGAGATTGGTGATGGCATCAGTCTGCTTTAACGGCTAGGATAGTGACTGAGGATTGGTTTCAATGAGTATCCATGGTGATTTGGCATTGATGGGATCGATTCTGATTGGGATGAATGGGGTTGGTGACTGGTATCAATGAAGATAACAGTGATTGATGAATGGTATCTGCGGATATCCAGGGTGATTGGTATCAATGGGTATCAATAATATGTAGTATCAGTGACAACTGGTATCGATGGGACCAATTTTGATTGGGATGAATGATGATTGGTGACTGGTATCAATGGGTATCAATGATAAATAGCATCAGTGATGATGGATCACAGTGGAATCAATGGTAATTGGTGTCAATGTGATCAAGGGTGACTGGGATCAAGGGTGATTGCTTATTGGTATTAATGGGGGTCAATGATGACTAGTATCAATTGTGCATTGACTCAAAGGGTCTCTTGGTGAAGATGTATCAGTGGTCCAGCTACACGAACTCAAGGGGACATTTGTGTTCAGAGGATCAGTATTCCCTGGTTCTAGCTTTCAGGCAGAAGCTGTCCTGGTCAGGCTGTTGGACAGAAGTCAAGTAGCAAGTTAAAAAGACAAGGCTTTTTTGAAATGTGCCTAGACAGATACTATGTGTGAGAATGAACAAAGGTGGTCCTTTACTTCTCCTCCTGGGATCAAGAGGAACATTTGGGGGTCAATGGGAGCACAATATATGCCAAGAGGTTCTTCACCTTCTGTATAGATGATTTCATTGGGGTGAATCCTGACAACATCTTGATGTCAACAATGACCATGTTGGAGCCGGGACGGTGGCCCGTGTAGCTGGGAAATGAGGAGAGAAGGGACCAGATTTCACCCACCAGATCACCAGTCTGGGCCTCTTGGTTCCCAGGTGGTCATCTTGTTTGCACCAATCCATTTTCTGTCCACTGCCTTTTTAGCAAAGTTCTCATGAAGCTTCTGTAGATCCATGTTCAAATTTCCACTTACCAATGGAGCTTATGGTATCCTTTGGAGCCAGTTTCACTTGCTCAGCTCAGCTCAGCTCCACCTACCTCACAGGGTTATTGTTGCAAAAAGGATCCTGTACGTACACCACTTTGAAATGGCAGAGGAAGAGCAGGATAGACATCCAATTCAGAATGAATATGAATATATGAATATTTTAAAAATTGCTTACCTTCGTTTCATCCTTAAAGCCATCATATCAAACACAGTAAAACAAATAAACCAAATGCAGTGTAAGATTTAAAAAAAACTAGTAAGAACAGCAAAACATCCACAGTAACTTAGTATCAATCAAAGATCAGAGTAAATGAATGAGTTTTCCGCTGGTGCTGAAAAGTTACAATTTTTGGAATCAAATACAGCTAAGCAGGGACGATGTTGCCCAAAATGGGGTGCTACCACCGAGGACGCCCTGTTATACATCGTCACACTGTGAGCCACATTCACAGAGGGACCACAATCACAATGGCATAAGGAAGGTTTTCTTGCAAGCAATCGATTGCATTCACACAATGCACATAATAGGATCAGATGAAGACCTAGCAGCTGCTTTTGCACATGCTACCTAAACTGGGCTAATTTTAAACTTGGTTTGAGGTTTTGTTGTGATTTATTGGCCTAGTGTGTTGTATGAATCCAGAAAATGGATTAACTCATAATCCATTTATAAGGTTTTGGGTAAGCATAGCCCTTGGGTGCTTAATTGTTCTAGAATCAATACGGTCAAGTGAGTCTGGTAACCCACAAGACAGCCAGAACAGCATTTTCAAGATCATTTCATCCCGGAGGACTTCAAGATCACTTAGAAGGGACTATCTTAACATCTTCACCACATTTTATGAGATAGAAGCAACTTTGAGAGTGTGTCTGTCTATATATCCAGTTGGGAATTTAATTGAATAAACAGGGGTTGGAAACCATACCTCTTTGACCCAGCAGCCTGGAGTTTGATGTAGCTGATGTTTTGTGAAGTGGGAAATGGTTTTTCTCTGGACTTGCTGGATCAGAGAATTAGGAGCATGGGAGGAATCTTGGGGGACATCTCTCTAAGCCAGCCTGGATACTCTTTAGATATTTTCAATGAGTCCCAGAATTTTCCACCCAGCATCATTATAGTTGCGAATTATGGAAACAGAAGTCTATGCATCTGGTGTAGTTGGCTGATCTAGTCCAATGCTTCATCCGGTCCAGGTCTTGGACAAGATGGCTTAGACAGCCACAAAGTTTTCCCTTCCTCATTTTTTTTTAGCCTGGGTGTTCTAAAAGTGGCCACAAAGATTACCTGACATTCCAGACTAGCTGAAATGTTTGGGGGACTTGGGGTCCAGTATCCATTCTGGGAACTGTTTGCACTTCCAATGCAAATGGTGCATCCTTCTGATGTGGATCCACATTGTACTTCAAGGTGGTCTACCAATGGAAAAAAAAGAGAGACCCTGATACCAAAAGACTGGGATTAGTGGCAGAGGGGCTGATGGAGGTAGGAGCTCCAGCAGGGCTACAGGATCTAGACTCTGACACTGCTCCATCTGTTTCCACCTTGCAACTTTCTGAGGCCCAGAAACTACAACTTCCAGGAATGACAGCTCCTGAATGGGACTTCCCCTCCCCAGAGAGCAGATCATGGTCTACCGAATTTCTACCCAAGAACAGGCAAGGATTTAACAAAGAGATCATAGAATGTTGGTTTTCTCAAGCTCAACCAGTATTTCAACCCTGATCAGAACCTGTCTTTTCTCCGGGAGCTGTCCAGGGTCCTGAAAAGCTGGTCTCCAACAACGATCATCCTCAGAAGTCTAGTTAGTTCCGACTAACATATTTTATTAAAAGGTAGAAGCTTTCAAAAGCTTCTGCCTTTTAATAAAAGGAGTCAGAAAAGGTGATGTCAGACTCCTGATTTCCTGCCATCAAAGACAAACATGGTGGTCCTCCTACAATCTCTCTTACTCTGGTTCTTAACCAGTTAGGTAGCCGCGCGGTCTCTGCCTACTCAGTCCTGGCTCTTGTTCCTTGATCAGGGTCACTGCACATTCCAGACTCCACCATGGTAGCGCAGAAAACAACAATTGGCACCTGGAAGCCATTGTGGGCCAATGAACCTGATCCCCTGTGATAAGCAGGTGCCTGTTGCAGTAATAAAATTGCATAATGCTTCAAGGCAGATGGTGTGACACTCCCCTTCTCATGAAGCAGAATATAAAGCCCCCCTCAAAAAGGTCAAGAAAGAATATACTGTCCTCCCTTTCATTTAACCTTGGTTCTCAGATAGCCAATACAAACCATAGGTGCTATGAACGGTAGACCCTCCTTTTCTATTCCTTTGCACTCTCAGGTAGAGAGCAATGGGTGTTCCTCATACTATAAGCCTCAAGGCCTCCCCCAAGGGGCTTTATATAACCTCCTTTTGCAGGGTTGTTTTGCGCCTTCAAGTCAGTCCTGACTCCTGGCGACTGCCTGGACAAGTCCCTGCAGTTTTCTTGGCAAGATTTCGGAATTGGTGTGTCATTGCCTGCTTCCTAGAGTTGATGGTGACTGGCCCAAGGTCACCCAGTTGTCTTGGTGCCTCAGGCAGGACCTTGGCTCCTGGTACCTTAACCGCTACACCAAACTGGCTCTCTTAACTTTGAATTATAGCAGCTAAATTCACCATTGGCCACTAGGAGGCACCAGACATACAGTGCCTCCTCGTGGTCCAGCGTGAATGTAACCACTGTAGTACAAAGCACGTCTACTCTCCACTGTTTTCTCTTTATACTGATGACTCAACCATACCTGAAATTCTTTTGTTTCTTCCTGCCTTAGTCTTCCTCTACCCTCACCTGCTCCCTTCCTTTCCACGCTCCCCTCTATTCTCCATTCCTTCTCTAGGGCTCTTCCTTCTGGCCATCTGGCACTCTCCACTGGCAACTCTCCCTGCCTTGGGCTACGGACTTAACTTTTTCTCACCTGCACATAGACGCAGCCTTCTCCTGACACCTCCGTCTTGTAGTCCCCTGGCACTTTGGGCAACACCTGGCACTGGAGCAGTAGAGAATTGCTGCTGTTCACCTGGAATTCCTTGGGATCGCCTTCTTCGGAGCTCAAGGTCACGCTTGCACCCGCTCCCCTCTTTGCGTAGGTAGCAGCTCTATAGAGGGAGAGGGCCTGCAGCGCCACCACTGTATCCTGCAAAGAAGCGTAAGGTGAGAGACTTCCTTTTTCACTCAGACATCATTTGAGGGACTAGCTATCCCCAGTAATTGCTGCCCGTCGGACACATTCTGGTACAGTTGGCACGCTCTGGGTCCTGTTGATTAAACCACATCACCTGGTGGGATCAGGAAGCAGGCCTCCTCTGTCACAGCCCCTGCCCTCTGGAGCCCCCTTCCCCCCGAGATAAGCGATTCTGAGGTTGAACAACCCATTAGTCAAGTTGAGGTGATCCAGCCTTGCTTATAAAACGAGAACTGGAGGGAAGCGAAGGCCGAAGTCTCATCTTCCACTCCATCAACGTTCATCTCAAAGAGCTCTCTAGGAGCTTCCTGATACTTTTTGTTATGTACGATCTGAATGAATGATGGAGAGGTCTATACTGCGACGACAAAGCTTTTCCAATCTGCCAGTAATCTCCTGGAATTGTTGGGTGGTGTTCGTCTTCACTTTGCTCTGCTGCCATGTAAAAGATTCCTAATTCTGTAGCAAAGGATGTTGCAAGCAGAACTGGTTCCATAGGGGAGGAAAAGCAGGAGAGAGCCAAGG